ATTGAGGGTGAAATCAGGAGGTTCACAGACAAAAAAAGGATTAGGGAGTTTATTATCACCAAACCAGCAATGCAATAAATGCTAAAGGGTCTGCTATAAAAAGAAGAAATAGGAAGGGAAGAAGAAACACAAGCATACAGAATAAAAATGGTGACAAACAAGAACCTATCAATGATAATTTTAAAAATTAAATGCCCCAATCAAAATACATAGAGTAGCTGAGTGGATAAGAAAACATGACCTATATATCTGCTGTCTACAGGAAACCCATCTCAAAACAAAGAACTCAAACAGACTGATGGTGAAGGGATGGAAAAATATCATTCAGGCAAATGAAAATGAGAAAAAAGATGGCATAGCAATACTTATATCCGACAAATTAGACCTCAAAGTGAAGGCCATAGCAAGAAATAAGGAAGGCCACTTCATAATACTAAAGGGAGCAATTCAACAAGAAGATATAACTCTTGTAAACATATGCACCCAGTACAGGAGCACCCAAATACATAAAAAAGTTCATGGAGGATATCAAGGGAGAGATTGACAACAATACAGTTATAGAAGGGGACTTTAATACCCTACTAACACCACTGGACAAATCCTTTAAACAAAAAATTCAGCAAAGAAATAGCAATCCTAAATGACTCACTATGTCAGATGGAATTAATTGACATCTTCAGAACATTTCACCCCAAAGCCACAGAATATACATTCTTCTCAAGTGCACATGGGTCATTTTCAAAGAGAAACCATATATTGGGGCACAGGCAAAGTCTCTTCATACTCAAGAAGATAGAAATCATATCAAGCATCTTCTCAGATCACAGTGGCATAAAACTAGAAATCAACTACAATAAAAACAATAAGCCCTGACAGGTTTGGCTCAGTGGATAGAGCATCAGCCTGCAGACTGAAGGGTCCCAGGTTCGATATCAGTCAAGGACATGTACCTTGGTTGCAGGCACATCCCCAGTAGTGGGTGTGCAGGAGGCAGCTGATCGATGTTTCTCTCTCATTGATGTTTCTAACTCTCTATCCCTCTCCTCTCCTCTCTGTAAAAAAATCAATAAAATATATTTTTAAAAAACAAAAAAAATAATCAAACACCTGGAGGCTATATAGCATGCTTTTAAACAATGATTGAGTTACCAAAGAGGTCAAGAAAGAAATAAAAAGCATAATGGCAACAAATGATAATGAAAACACAACAATCCAAAATCTATGGGACACAGCGAAAGCAGTCTTCTGTGGGAAGTTCATAGCTCTGCAGGACTATCTCAAAAAACAAGAAAAGATGGTAATAAATTATCTAACCCTACAACTCAAAGAGTTAGAGAGAGAGCAACAAGAAAAGCCCAGCGTAAGCAGAAGGAAGAAAATAATAAAGATCAGAGCGGAGGTAAATGACATAGAGACCAAAAAAAAAAAAAATACAAAAGATCATCAAAACGAAGAGCTGGTTCTTTGAAAGGATAAACAAGATTGATGAACCTCTAGCCCAGCTCACCAAGCAGAGAGAGAGGACCCAAATAAACAAAATCAGAAATGAAAGAGGAGAAATAACAACTGACCCCACAGAAATACAAAGGATTGTTAAAAAATACTATGAACAACTCTATTCCAACAAACTGGACAACCTAGATGAAATGGACATATTCTTAGAAAAATACAAGCTCCCAAAACTCTATCAAGGAGAATTAAAAAAACCTGAATAGGCCGATAACTACCGAAGAAAGTGAAACAGTGATAAAAAAAATCTTCCAGCAAACAAAAGTTCTGGTCTGGATGGCTTTACAGGGAAGTTCTACCAAGCATTCAAAGAAGAACTAAAACCCATCCTACTCAGATTATTCCAAAAAATTCAAGAGGAAGGCACACTTCCAAGCTCTTTCTATGAAGCCAGAATTACCCTAATTCCAAAACCAGATAAAGACACTACAAAAAAGAGAACTATAGGCCAATGTCCTTGATGAACCTAGATGCTAAAATCCTCAATAAAATTCTTGCAAATCAAATTCAGCATTATATTAGAAAGATCATACACCATGACCAAGTGGGATTTATTCTGGGGATGCAAGGATGGAACAATATTCACAAATCAATAAATGTAATACATCACATAAACAAACTGAGAGACAAAAATTACATAATCATATCAATCGAGGCAGAAAAAGCATTTGACAAAATCCAATACCGTTTTTGGATAAAAACTCTCAGCAAAGTGGGAATAGAGGGATCATACCTCAACATAATAAAAGCCATATATGACAAACCCACAGCCAACATCATACTCAATGGGCAAAAACTAAACTCATTTCCCCTAAGAACAAGAACAAGACAGGGATGCCCACCTTCACCACTCCTGTTTGATATAGTACTGGAAGTGCTAGCCATAGTGATCAGACAAGAAAAAGAAATAAAGGCATCCAAATTGGAAAAGAAGAAGTAAAACTATCCTTATTTATAGATGACATGATAATATGCATAGAAAACCCCAAAGACTCCATCAAAAAACTACTGGACCTAGTAAGTGAATTTGGCAAAGTAGCAGGATACAAAATTAACACCCAGAAATCTATGGCCTTTTTATACACTAATAATGAACTCACAGAAAGAGAAGTGAAAAAAACAATCCCACTTACCATTGCACGAAAAAAATTAAGATACCTAGGAATAAACTTAAC